GTGTCTGGTAGTGCACTCTCCTCCTTTCCATCATCAATCTCTACTTGAGCATTCTCCATCTTTGTAATGTTTCTGAGAACACAGATAGAGATTACGGACAAAGACACATAAATATATGTATTTATTTGATATAGAGAGAGAGATAAATAAATAAAAACCTCACCCATTTACACTTGAGTCTAACCCTGGGCTAAAGTACACGGAGGACATGATGCTTCTGTTTCCTTTCTCTTTTTGTCCTGAACGTGGAGTTTCTGCATTTGGAGACAAAAGCGTGATAAGATTGAGTGCACCCATTTCAGCGCGATGCTACGTGGTTACACTGTGGAAACAACTGAGACAAGAGTGCATAAACTTTGTGTCATCGTCCTAAAACGCTGCTTTTCTTCAAACCAGTCTCTCACGCATTTCCCGGTGCTACCTGCAGGATGCAGGAGTCCACAGCGCGTCCCTAAACCACTACATTCAGCTGCAGCACGTACAAAGAAACTGCTCAAGAAAGGAATCGCTCATTATGTTTACCTCTGGGTAAATTTTAACAAAGTTTCACCGCCCGGTCCACAGTCTGTGTGATCACCATTCACTGTCCTGTTGCTTTCCTTGCAGCGTTGACGCGTTCACAACACATCAGACCCCCAAAAAGCCCAACTAAACTAAACTCCCACCGCCTGCTTACCGTCGGGACTGTCATTCGTCAAATTATACGAGACTTCGTCTTGTGACTTCTCCCGGGGACAAAGGAAGACGGTTCAAAGGTTAACCGGGTGGATTTTTTTCTATCCATCCACTATTCCTCATCGTTTTTGCAAACGTAGCGGTTTCGAACTTCCTGGAGCTCAGTAGAAAAAAAAAAGAAAAAACAGGAGGAAAAAATGCCCCCCCTTTATTCATATTTCCTCCTCAGCTTACTTTGACTCAAAAACAGAGTCTGACGGTAACCCTTCTGCACAGACGTATTTAAACCGCCGATAGTTACTAAACTAGCCCAACGGGCTGCCTAATTTGGAACATCTGGTTTTAATAGACTAGCCAAAAACGAAATAGAACATTCCTGCCTTTTGCGTCACTTGTTTGTTTTTTGTCATGAATTCATGATATTTGGGTATGATATTCAGAAAAATAAAAAGTAATAATAATAATAAAAATGAAATAAATACATAGAAAACACAAAATACCTCAACTGCTCCCTTTAGGGGTCGCCACAGCGCATAGTCTGCCTCCATCTGACCCATTTCCCTTGCATCATCTTTTATTACAACAACCCTCTGCGTGTTTACTTCACATGCAGAGGGTCATTTATCGTCTTCCCACACGCTGACTTCCTACACTACAGTTTGCACCTTTCCCGTGTTTTATACCACTGCATATTAAATATGTGTAAATATTATAACTTTAGTGCCCTGGGTAATGTTCACCCGGATGCTCTGCTGTTTATGAAATTACTAAGAAATCATATATTGCATTACTTTATTGCACGAATTAGTGTTTAAAGTAGGAAATTAATAAAAATAGAATGTATTTTTTTTTTTTAGGAATAATTGTCTCCCCCAATAGATCACTGTGTTATATTTAACAGGCAAACCCCACAAGCAGCGCTTCTGGTATGTAAAGAATGGAGCTCTTTCAACATTTTCGGTCAGTGAAGCTATTTGCAGCTCTGAGATCAGCTCTACTTTCAAGACAATGCGATGGTTTATGAAGGAGAAAGCACAAAACTGACCTGAGTTCAGTGTTTGGCCAGACCGTTCTAGTCCGAATCCTCTAATGTGAAACATGCAGAACTAGCCCAGCCTATAAATAATGCTGACAAATCTTAGGGGAAGAGAACACTGAACCTGAAGAAAACAAGGGAAGCTTTGTGAAATGAAGGTAAGGCTTGTGGCTTCGAGATTCTTCAGGTGTTAAAAAAAAAAAAAAGCATATAAAGTTGTGGATAACTTTTTTATTTTTCTTAAAGTTTTAATCTAAATTGTCTTGTTTATTTTAGACAATGTGGTTTTTCCTAAAAGTCATGCCAGTGTTGCTGTTCTTGACTCTGCTGTGCCCAGTCTTGGTCTCCTCTTCACAGCCGTCTGTATGTATCTACTCTGTAACAAATGTTTTCATTTATTTTTGTATTGACTGTGAAAACTGAAAATCTATGCCTTAAATGGTGTTTTTTCTAGATGTGTAGAAAAAAAACTGTGATGCATTACTTACTGCTTCCTCTGTGTGTTATCAGAATAAAAACAGAGGTATTTTTTTCCTTCCTTATTTTAAGGCAATAGACTCGTGCGGGCCTGAGTTTGCTGTTCTCAAGCGCAGCATAAGGAAACTGGAAAATAGTCTTTTGATCAGAAAATGGCAGGTTGAGCACTTGCAGACGCACAAATACTTCCGTCCGTTTCAGCCTGCTGCGTCTAACAGCAAACCTCAGGCTGATTCAGACCCCGATTCTGGTTTAAACCACAACAAGAGCGCAGCACTAGATGGACTGGATATGACGCTGACTAAACCACTTCCACCGACAGGCAATTTAATTGTTTATGATAAAGGTAAGAAAAGCGCACTATGTTTGGTGCAAATCTACAGTGCATGACGCATTTTTCTATTTCTAGTTCACTGAGTTTTGCACATGCACAGCTATTTTTTACTCGACATGCAACACAAAGTCAAAATGTCAATGTAAGAATATTAATCAGCAATCTCTGAAGCATTTAGTCTTTCTTCTAGACTGTTCTGAACTGTTCGACAGACAGAGACCATCAAGCGGTTTCTACCGCATAAGACCCAAATTACATCAGGAGCCCTTTTTAGTTTACTGTGACATGGATGATGGAGGAGGGTGGACAGTGTTTCAAAAACGCCGGCATGGAAGAGTTGACTTTCACAGGTAATTGTGCAGAAGAAGTACCCCACAGCATGTGGGGGGAAGATCCCACAGATGCTGATAAAGCTTGTGGGGTTTTCTGTTTGAAGTCAACTGCCAGCCTACTTCTCATTTCAGAGACTGGGTGGACTACAGAGATGGCTTTGGCGACTTCAAACTGTGGAATGACGAGTTTTGGTTGGGCAATGAACATATTTACTCTCTGCTCTCAGAAGGTCAGCAGGTGACATTGTGCACTAATGCTTCACATAGGAACCCAGTATGTGTTTTTTCATTCATATGTTGCATATGATTTTTAAAAAGTTCTATTCCTGTCTTATTAGCTTCTCCTTTACCAACTTTACTTTGTGTCTTTTTTGTGCTAAAGGTAAGAACCTTGTGAAGATCGATCTTATGGATTGGGATGGACAGAGAAGCTATGCGTTTTATGACAACTTCAGGATCACCGATGAGGCTGTGAGAATAACACTTTGTGTAGCTTTTCCTTAGAATCATAAGTATAACGATCCTCCCAGGAATTATTGTTCTAATGCTCATTCCAGGATAAATATCGTCTTCAGTATGGGCAGTACAGTGGGTCAGCCGGAGATGCTCTCAGTGGAAGCAGGGGTGTGGTGGAGCAGTGGTCTTCTTGCCTCAGTGGCATGCATTTCAGCACCAGGGATCAGGTTAGTCACAGATCTGTCAAAACCATTACCACTCCAAGATGGCAAGTTGATGTTTCACAGCACGTCTAATAGACTACTCATGTGCAAATGATGAATGTGAAAACACTGATGCCGGTGGTTGACAGGATAACGACCGGTACCTCCAGGGAAGCTGTGCCCAGGAGAATAAAGCAGGTTGGTGGTATAACAGGTGAGGCTGTCACCCACCCTTTCTGTTTCATGAGTCTGCATCACTTCAAATGTGATTATGAAGTTTCTGTCTCTTCACCGGGTTTTGTAATTTGGAAAATTTACCTTTGACATTGTGCCCTTAACTTCTGATCTACAGATGTCATGCAGCCAACTTAAATGGAAAATTCTATCGCAGAGGGAAGTACAAAGCCGAGTATGATGACGGCATTGTTTGGGGGACCTGGAAAGGCCTTTGGTATTCACTTAGACACACCACCATGAAGGTGCGGCCTCTGGTTTTCCTAGACGCCGTGGGCAGTGGAGCGGGCGAAATTTAAAAACCTAAACGCTAAAAAACAAGAGCAAACATTCTTTGCCATATTTTAATTTCTCCCTTTGCTATTTTCTATCAAATATCAGTAATACTGTATTGTATGCATTTCTTTCTGTAAAGTGTCTATTAACCAAACACTAAAATAAACAGCATTTCATCCATAACACCTCTCTGATGTTCATTTGATTGTCCTCAAGCATAGTCACAATGGATACAACTGTGTAATTTTCATTACATATTTGACACTGCTTAGATCTCACATTAAACAGTGAAGCTGTCAGGATCTGCAGACTCGACTGGAAAGTGCTATCAGGCACCTGAGTTCCTTGGTCTCCACCCCTGGGCGGAGCCATCTCCCTGCTGCAGTCCTGCACACCTGAGACTGACTTGGGGCAATCAGGTTGAGGATTTAAGGTACCCTCAGACTCTCCTTCACCGCCAGTTTGTCAACGACCTCACGTTGGTATTGACTCGACGGCTTTTTACGCTCTTGCCACTTTTTCATTGTTAACCTTAGTTTCATGTGCTTCAGATTTTCTGGACCTTCGTTGTCATCACCCTCAATCCCAGCTCTCCTTAGATTATCATAAGGAATACGAGGACCCTCACCTGCCTGCCCTCCAGCCTCACTCACCACCTTGGACACAGCGGAACTCAGGTCTGCCAGCCTTTCCACTACTCCCCTGGACTACCACCGCCTCTCCCTCAAAGCGAGATTCACGCCGATCACCAACGCAACCGCTCCGTTCCCGTCTCAACCTGCTAAATCCCCGTTCTCGAGTCCAATTTAGCTATCGGCCCGTGGCCATTGCGACAGAAGCCTAGTGTAGCTGGTGCGGTTCCAGTATTGTAGAGTACTGTAATTGCAGAAGACTTGGCAGCACTATAAAAGAAATACATACAGTTATGTGGAAATAAAACTAGAGCATTATCTGGGTCTAGGTATTGATTTTAAGAGTGCATTTAGAAAATGTGACAGGTTTATTGTACCAGCTGTTGAAGTACAGAGGAGAAATGTATTTCCAAAGTGTGTTAAAAATCTCAGCAATGGCATACAGTGAATTAAATAAAACTTTACCAGTTCACAAAGTCAGTAACAATATTACAAAACCTTAAAAAATTCAAAACTAAAGTCAAAAATAAGAACTTTAAAAGATAAAAACATATAGAGATAAATCTGTAACATTACAATACATAGGTGGGTACAGAGATGTAGGGTGAAGGGTAAAGAATAAATGTGATTTTCAGTGGCAGTTTTTCTCAGCTGTAGTTTGTGATCTACTCCTCCTCCCATACATGTGACGAGGACAGATCTAGATCCAGCATCTTTTGTTCTGCCTCGCTCAGCTTGTAGGGAGAGCCATCACTGCTGGTGTACTCCTCAGTCACGGGCAGAGAGTGGCAGCGACCTTTCCTCTGGTCTGAGGATGAAGCAGTAAAGCTGGAGCTGCGCTTGCGCCCCTTGGCTGCAGAGTTGGACTGAGCCTCCTTTAATTTCCGGGCCAGGATGTTCCTCTGAATTGGTGAGGGGCCGCGACGGTTCCAGTTCTGTTCAGCCCGATCCAAACTCAACTGGTTCACTCCCTGAGAACTAACAGGTGCTGCGGCGGGACCCCCGATCCCTGAAACTTGGTCACTGTTCTTTCTCCTCTCTGCTTTGCTATTAAAGTCAGATTTACCTTGTGTCCCAGATGCTGAAATTGTGTTTGTGTTGGTTCCTGCATGTTTGATTTCATTAATGTGCGAAAGCACTGGTTTCTCTGTCCAGGGCTTCCTCTGGTCACTTTTCTGTAGTCTGGATCTAGCCCACTCTGAAGCTCCATGCTCTGGAATTGGATAAGAGCGATATGGCTGTCTCTCCCACCCTCCTTTGCTCCAACAGCTTCCTTCGGGAAGAGTCCGAGATCCCACCTGGAAAGGACATAACGGTTAAACTTGACCATTCGTGGCACTAAAATGTTTTACAGCAATAATAAATAAATAAAAAATAAATTAAAATCATACTAAAGAGTCTATAAGATACCTGGGTCAGGCTTCTTTCTCTGAACTGTCTGGACTGTGAGAAAGACGGTAGCTGAGGTTTGGCATCATTAAAACTGGAAGTCCGGCGGAAATTTGGATTCTTATGATAAGAGTTTCCCACTGCTGCATGTCCTTCTCTGAAACCTGTTAGCCCACTCCTCTCTACCATCTCTACCCAGTCAGCAGTGCGGTCATGCCACTTGGAGCTGGTCCTACTTGCGTGAGCAGCAACAGGAGGACCTATGATCAGTTCCACTCTAGGACTCAGTCTGTCCGGTGTGGCCCTAAAAGTTTGTGGTGGTGGTTCAGAAAAGGGAGCTGCAATGTGAAAATTCTTGAGTTTAGAATCACCCTGTAGACCTAAAGGGGAGGCAGAATGAGCAAATCCAATCGGTGTAGGAATGGGAGAGATGGTGGGTGAAGCAGATGTGTCTACAACAGTGTCATGGACAGGGCTGGAAGAAACATGGTACAGCTGTGTAGCCTCCTTTAAGCCCTTCTTCTTCATCTCTTTCAACTGTTGTTGTGCCAATTTGTACCTAGGCAAAAAATAGTTTCCGGTTTATTGTGTGGTTTTTTTTTTAATAGCTAGTGACAAAAAGGGATACATCTGGGATAGAATATTATAAATTTGAAAACATACCCAAATATTGGTGGAAACACCTTCTGGCCAGTGGGAGATAGTCTTTCTGGGTCCTGTGGGAGTGGTATCACCACGGTCTGTGAGAGAGGTTGACTTCCCAAGAAAGCCCCATCTTTTTGGGCTGCGGCCACACCCACGCCCCCTGAAGGGCTGTGAACATCAGACAGGCTGGGTCTTTGTAGGCTGTGCCCACAGATGGAGGCCTCATCTGAGAGCTTGCGCCCTCCAGGAGAATGCATGGAGCTTCTCCGGACAGAGCTGCACTGAGGGCTCTGGCAAAATTTTCTCCACACCGTCACCACAACAGTAGCCATAATCACAGCCAGGCAAAGGGAGATACCAACTACCACAATCATGTTACCACCCAAGGGTGCAACTCCAGGTGCAGGTGTGAGAGATGGAGAAGGAGCTGGTACCACTGGGACAAAAAGAAAACCAAAGTTTGGACACAAAACTGAAGAGAAAAAGCTTTAATCTAGGATACTGAAGATTAGAAAGAGCAAGTTAAGGATAAACAAGCTCACCGACACAATCCTCTAATGAACACAGGGACTGCTCCTTGATCATGCCAGTGCACTGCATCCCTCGCACACCTGAGGGCAGTAAACACTCACGCACTCGTTCCCTCACCCCTTCTCCACAGCTCACGCTGCACACACTCCACGGCTGCCATGGCCCCCATGACTCTGCAGGATATGATAAAGCAGATTAGTAGTTTAAAACCTTTAACTCTGCATTGCTACATAAATTCCCTCCACTCCAATACACCAAAAACACACGGGCTAAACAATCTCACCTGCACTTTTGTAAGCCACCAGGCACGTCTGTGCTGGACTGGGCGAGCGGCTGTAGTTGAAAACAAAGCGAAAGCAGTACTTATTCCTTCCCGGGTAAAACACGGAGCAGTTGAATTCCGTTTCATTCTCTCCCTGAGTCAGCCAGTTAAAGGCCAATGGGGGAGAAGTGGGCTCCTCTGCAGATGAAGCAGCATCGCTATACAGTAATACTTTCCCATTGATGTGAGCACAGGGTGGGGTGATCAATTTAACAGTCATAGTGCCCTCACAGCCACTCTTGTAAGCATTGGCATTTTCCACTAGCAGCTTATAGGAGAAGAAACGGGACAGGTAGAGCGGTCCAGAGCTCTTCACCTCCTGTGCTGTGTGAGGAGACCGTAGAGCAACTCTTATGAAATCTCTGTCTGTGAATGGGAAGGCACAGGACAGTTCAACACTCTGAGAACGGAGGGGTTTGATTGGGATTCGCGTGAGGGCTCGGACCTTGTTGATGCTCTTATGACCTATTTGGTTGTACTCCATGTAGCTGACTTCTAGTGAGAGAGCAGAATCAATGCCGCTGGAACAAGCCTGAAAGTGTTCATTAGTGGATATCCCAACCTGAAGAGAAACAACAGAAGAGAAGTATGATAATTATTTATGGTCATTGTTTTACAGCAGTATATACTGAAATGTTGTTTTTATTGCCTGAAAGGATCCCGAGTGGTTCCCAGCTCTCTCCACCGAAATATGAAAGGTTGGCCAATGGACTTGTAGTTCTGAACTCCACCACCAGGTAGTGCTCTCTATGCTACTGCCCTCTGTGCTATTAGTAGGGAAAACAGTGGAGATGCTGGTTTGTCTCAGCAGGAACCGGAAAGTTCCTGCGTACGGGAAGCAGGAGCAGTTGAACTCCACCCTGCCAGCCGGTTGATTGTTGTGGAGAGTCTTGGTCAGAACAGTGGTGTTGCTTTCCGTGTTGACGAGAGATAGGCTCCTGCTCCGGATGGTGCTGCTGTTGGATTTTATGCTGAAGTCCACAAATATGCTGCTGTTGCTTAGGGCAGAATGCAAGGAGGGCCAGATATTGAGCCCTGCAAAAGCTACAGGAAAGAAAACACACAAGTAGATGTGAGAAAGACAGAGAAAGGAAAAAGAAAATGTTACACATTGTTCTACAAGTGGTGAATACACCTTCTTAATATGTCCACAATGGGTAAAATTAAGTTTGGTTGTTGTTAACCATTAATGCATTTATTTTTTTTTTTAAAAATCCAGATTTTCCAAGCATGCAAACAAAGTTTTACTGTACCTAAAGATTGTTTCTAGTTCCATTTTGTTAGGTAAATTAATCAGAATGATAAGCTCAAGTGTGAGTTAATATTTGTGGCTGTTTAAAAAATACTAGGAGTGTATGGGTCTGTTCATTTTTTATGGTAATTTTACAAATTTTAGAGGGTTTTCTAGTAAACCTTGGCCTCAATTGTGAGTTTATAAAGTGTCAGTTTTGACAACATTGTAACCATAATTTATAACAACGTGTCCTGTGTGTAATTATAATACTTTTATAACCCTCTTATACATTTCCCTTATCCAACATTAGATATATTGCCCAAACAACCACAAAGTATAGTTTTTTGCTCAGAACAACAAAATAAGCTCAGTGGAGTCCACATTAACAGGTTCAAAAGGAGTAAAGTATAGATATCAAACAGACAAAGAGTTAAACATGTTTGAGTATATAAGCCAAGAATCAGGGTGCTATTAGTGGGGGGAAACGCACTAGTAGCATGTTATTTTAAGAGCTATTGTGCTCTGTATTGTGTAAATCCTGTTGTTGGGACCTCACATCCTCACAAAGGAAAGCGGGTGTCTGAAGAGGCCACGCATTAGCCTCGTTCAGCAGTCAATTAAAATGCAGTAAGATGATAGATTTGTAGAAACTCACCATATCCAATGAGCACTAGCAGGAAGGACAGCAGTGAGACAGCCTGTGGCATTCCGATACCTGTGCCTCCTTCTTCTCCAACACCACATGATCGTCCTATTCCACCATCACAACGCTGTGAAAAGCTTTAAATGGGGAAATCATAGAACAATAAAACAAACAAAAAAAACCAAGAAGATAATCCACAGAGAAGTAGGAGATAGCATTTAAGTGTGTGTACAAGAAGCTGTGCGCTCTTCTGCATGTATGGAAAACAGGAAGGCTAGAGTATGAACAGTGAACATGACTTTTCTGAATTTACACTGGCGTCTTCCTCTTCCTTTCATCTTCACAATGGGTATGGGGAGCTGCCACCATCACATAAGAGAGGTTTCAAAAAAAAGGAGGGGACGGGGCTTTGTTCATCACAAACATGTGGTAGGCTGAATTTATTTATTTATTTATTTTTGTTTGTTTGTTTGTTTGTTTGTTTCAAAAACAGACCATTTCAGACTTTTGAAGTCAGAGCAGAATCAGAACATTTACTACTAGTTATTATTTCCATCATAAAGTCAGCCAAACTTCCAAGCAAATACAAAGTTAAGGTGGAGCCTGGTGTTTGCTTGTTTTTAACCCCGTGCTCATACTGTGTAGCTCATTTGGGTGAATATTTTCAGGATATGACTGGTTTTTAATCCGCGAATAAACACAGCGTCGTTTGTGTGCGCAATACCTTCTGATTAGTGAATCTAAACCTGGATTTTCAGTCTAGATTAGCATGCATGTTGCTTTACATAGTGAGTCTAACCCTTTACTGTTTTGTGTAGTGCAGTCTGATTAAATCAAATTGTACTCACGTGTCTTGAAGACTCAGAAAAGTATGGTTCCTCGGCGCTTTCCCCCGCACAGCACCCACAGTAACTGTCCCTCCATATGCTCGTTGCGAATTTCTTTTGCCAGATAAGCTGCTAATAAATTTCACTGACAGTCAGGGGGACAAGTATGACAGCCCCACGAGCGCTACAGAGGCGCGCGCTGGGGTTCAGAGCGCGTGAAAGAGATCCGCTCAGTAAGGTCAACAAGAGGGCGTATTATGTTTGCGACAAACTCCCTTTTCCTCTCAGAATTTAGACACGCAGTTAAACGGTTTATGACTTAAGTCTTAAATATTATCTGCCTTGAAGCTTCCATTTAAGAAGATATTTAAAAAAATAAAGAACGTTTTGCGTCCAAAACGACTCTCGCCCTTTTTATTCCTGCCTGAGATTAATAGCAGGTAAAATGAAGCAGTGAGAAGTGGAACTGGTTCTAACGTGCTTTAGCTCTGGGAAATTTCATGCTAGACGAAAAAAGGCATAAATAAAAGATACATTTCCTGCTCTGGCAGTTAAAGGATCGCATTGCATTAAGTCTATCATTCCAAAGATCGATATCAGTTTTAACAGGCGCCCGGATCATCAAAACATTTAAGATGGCAGTGCCACAGGAAAAATATGTGAAATTCAACATAGGGATCTGTAGTTCAATCCTTTATGTGACAGTGTGAGAAAAAAATCAAACGTTTTAATCAGTATTGTATAGTAAACTATATATGTCGTTTTTCTATGATTAACCAATTTTTAACTCGAGTTAAAAAAAAAAAAGAAAAAGAAAAAGAAATAAATAAAAGCACACCAAATCATAAATTATGCAGAAAGCCGTAGTCAATCTCATTGTAAGAGCAACGGGACTCATATCTTGCGGTAAATTGTTCACCTAAACTAAATATTGTGCATGCACCCCCAATTATGAGAATCAGACCTGCCTCGGCTCGGCTCGGCTCTCGAGACATCCTGAACTAGTTGAATTCATCTATCAATAAGCGGGCCACATGGCAGGGTAATCTAATCAACTCTGCAGACCTTCATTCTTCCTCTGGCGAGAGTCCACACAGAACAGGAAACCTCTCTGGAGATGAAACGTTCATGTTCACAATGGGAACAATGAACCTTTCTATTTTGTTTGTTAAAATACTTTACGGTGACAACAGAAGCACCATTCTAACACTACTTGTTGCTTGTTGCCATAGGCTCCTCATTCATATGTAGTTACTTGCTATATGGTAACTGTGGGTGAATATGATAAAGTATTGTTTTGAAAGATTTGTTGTGCCAGTTGATCGCGCCTTTCAGTTTTGCCTTCAAAACACACACTCTGGTATTTGTCTAGCACAACTTTCCTCTGAACTGGGCCTGAGTATTACTCACATGCACTCTGTGAATTGGATTGACGGGAGATGCATTTTAGTCTGTCTTGTCTGGTCTTGAATTTACCCAAAACTATTACACTCACAGGAGTGTTTACTGGGAAAGGGACAGGAACTGATGTTGATGGACTAAATTAAAGGACCAACAAAAGATGCAATGTGGAGCAGGTCATTTGGATTAATTGAAACCTGGGCATCTACGTCAGCAGGGAACGCTACAGTCCCTAACCACTTATATATTTTACTCTGGAAAATGTCATTAGCGATGGTATTTTTCATAACAGAATGCTTTGCTTGCATTGAAAAGGTATACCCGACTTTTCCAGAATGAGTACATTGTGAATGAAAACAAAGTATAAAACATAAAGTGCCGTTTTCCAAAAAGCATTTATTACCAAACACACCCGATGGTCAATCTACCAACGAGAGTGGACCTGAAACTTGAAACATTTTGAAAACAGTCCAGTATCGCTCGTAGTTCTAGATAAAAACATATTTATAGGTGGATTCACAGTGCTCTATTATAATCAGAACACCAAATGGACACATACATTGGATACATACAGCATAGCATGAAAAGTACAGCACCTGTAGAGGTCAGCTGATTTAGTTTTTTTTTTTTTAAAGAAATCATCCGTTTCTATATTCCACATTAATTGTAAACAGGTTAAAATAGGTTTGGGTAGAATCTTAAACCCTCAACAGAGTCATCTCTACAAAGGTGGCCCATCTTCTCAGCCAGCAACAACCTGGACAAGAAGAGTGAAGAAGGCAAATAAATTACAACATGACAAACTGCAGCAACAAAGAACTATAAAATATGAGACACAGACGAGTATTTCACACTTCTACACCATGACGATAAAGTAAAACTGACTGACATGACTAACTTACCGCTCTTTTGACAGAAGAACAGAGAGACCCAAGAGCTTTGCAAACTCCTCTGCAGTCAAGGAGCCTTTCTCTGACACCTGTCCAAGACAGGAAGAGATACAGAATTGGTTATAAATGTATCGGTTTTCTCTTAACCTTCAGAAAACGTGTAGTTGAACGCTTGTTCACACTTGTTGGAGAAGTGTCTGTACTGCACAACCTGGTCACAGCTTTGAATTGTTCTTGGTTAGAAGAAAGCAATTGCTACTTATTCACCTTTGTTTTCTGTTGTGAAATAACTCTCTGTTGACTAAAATCAACTTAGTTTAATGCAATCCATAAATCAGTATCATAGATTGGATTACCTAGTGAAGTCATTTAAAGGAGTAGCCAACTTAGCCATTTAGTATTTTCCTAGCAATAACAAGGTTAGACAACTTGCAGTAATTTCCCTGAAGTTGGTAGGGATATATATATAGAATTATACATTTTTGTGCTACAACAAAGAGTTCATGTTAAAGTCTATGCTGTGCTGGGAGAAGATCATTTGCTGACATTAGTGGACTGAGTTTTTAAGCTTACTCTAGCCAGTGTTTTACACTAGCTTGCATTGTGGCAATAAAGGGAGGAACTGAGTAGAGTCTAACCAATATCAGAGTTTTTAGACCAATACCAATACCGATATTTGATCATTTAAAAATCTGATATACTGCCCAGTATTTTTAATTTTTCTGTCAGACACTCAAAACATTAACAGATTTCTCTAACATTTGTTATCTGTAGTTATTAATTTACTTGTTTGCCCAATTCTGGGCCGATCAGCTGTTTGTTGTGTTTGTGGTTCCAAACACACATCGCAGAACGCTCTCCGGTGAACGAACTGTGCAAGCTCAACACTCATAACATGTTTGAATAGTGTTTCTTTTGTCTCGTCTTTAGTTAAAAAAAAACAAAAACCAATTATCAGCCATTATAAATGCTGACCCTGATAGATCAGCAAATAGCCAATATCACCAATATCGCCACAACAGCTCATCTGGCTCCATCTCAACCTCTCCTCTAATGCCCTTATACAGACCTACAGTTCTTATCTAGGTAGCCCATCATATGCTTTCTCTACAGCCACACACAGTCCTTCTGATTTTCTCTATAATTCTCCATCAGGACTACACAGAACAGTTAAGGGTTAGACCCACTATGTAAAGCACCATGCATGCTAATTTTTGCTTTCTGATTCACCAGCCGTCCTTCATCCATTCTCCCTTCCTGATTTTCTACATTCATCAGCTCCTTCCATCTTAGCACACTCTCTTCGCTTTTTAGCACATTTTCCATCTCTATCCTTAATTACCCTAACCTGCTGCACATCCTTTCCAGCTTGGCCTCTCTGTCTAGCGAATATATACAAGTCATTTTCCCCTTCCTTTGTGTTCAGCTTCACATAGAACCTACTATAAGTCTTTCCCTTTGCCACCTCTCTCATTGCCATATGCTCCCAGAATGCCTGTCTACTTTCTTTATTTCCTTGATTATCCTAGTTTTTTCTTTGCTAACCGCTTCCTTTTCATGACAAAATCATGTCCCGAGTCCTTTAAAAAGATGCCAGCCAACATACTGTTTTGGGCAAATAAAAGGTTGTTACTTGTAAATTGCTTTACATTCCTATTCACAGCACTTTTAAATTATTTAGTTCATTTTGATATGAAGTGGAATGTGCTGTTTAGTCACCCTAAAGCATGATAACGTCACGGACTGTGTTATGATTGTAACAGTTAAAGCTTACATTGTCCAGTGCTGAGGCTATCATTTCCTCTTCACTGTGAGACTGCAGCTGGACCACCATCACTCCGCTATCAAACACACGCAACCTACACACAAGATGAGATATGAGAAAAAAGGGGTTAAGTGTGCATGTAAGGAATAGAGACCAGTTTTAGGGTTTTAGGCTGTTTTATTAAATATTATAGACAGTTAAAATATGGCAACTAGCTTGTAGTGCTGGGATCAACTTTGTACGCAAACAGTAAAAAAAGCCAGTTTTTTTTTTCTGAAACTGAGAAGTAACAGGAAATGACAGCTGCGGAGGCCTGGACAGCCCTTCAATCAACAGGAAGCCCGGCAGGAAGAGCCTGGCCTTTGTGAAGTGGGCACCAACCTATCACTATAGTAACATAGCCTGTCTCTATTCAAATTAATTTAGTGTACACCCAATTTAAAACGGAAGACAAAGACAAATGCAACTCAAACTCACCTCAACGGGAGCTTCAATGACTCAAACATTTTACACGCATTCACCAAATCTTCTGGAGATAACAGCTGTGGAAAGAGGAAAAAAATAACCAAAGATGTTTGTGTGTAGTGTGGAAGTACACATTTCAATGTTGTGTTACAGTTATGTGTGCATTTTCAAAGAATTACCTCCATCCCTCTAGCACGGTTGACGAGACAGTACACCTCTGTAAGAGCCATCATACCTCCACGTTCCTGTGAGAGTGGGGAGTGAGAGAAAGAGGATCATGAAGAGAATAAAATAAAAGCAAGTAAGTAAATATAAAAGGTATCTCTTTCTTCCTGTTTCACCCCCCCCAAAAAAAAAATAAATAAATAAATAAATAAAAAATAAAAAATGATGCAAGTATCACCATGGTTTTTGGTTGTGTTAATATTTTTCATTCATTAGGGACAAAAATATATCCAAATTTGTAACAATAACAGAATTGTATCTACTACCCCTGGCAGAGGTTTGGTGATGCAATGGTTGTTCGTTTAAGGTCTAATGACTGTGACTCAACTTCAGGGATTTAATGGAGACACGAATGAAACAAGAATTTCAAGAAATGCAATAGTCTCATTTCCTGTTTTTCATTATTGGCCATAGCAGCTTGATTTAATGTCCACATTTGATCTAAATCACATTTAAACAGAGAGACATGAAACCAAATGAGGACACACCGGATATGTTGTTCCGGTCCAGCCCACAGGTGGGCGATTGCTACATGAGCAATGAGGCTAATGATCAACCAGTTCAACCTGTTATGAAACACCCAACTATTAAAAAGAAAAGA